AACAAAATAGACGGGTAGGGGACCGTTACGGTTACGTCATTATTGCCAACATAGGCGAAAAAAAAAAAAAAAAAAAAAAAGAAGGAAAAAAAGACAAGAGACAGACACAACCAAGCTCCCCTCTGCTCTGGGAGCTGGGAAGGTGGCCCCGGCTCCTACTACAGATGGGACCCTGGAGGGCAGGCTGCCCAACCTCGATGTGGTGGGCCCCCGTCCCAGAAGAGCAATGCACGAAAGGCCAGCCCATGCCCTCTTCCTTTCCCCACAAGGCCTGTCTCCAAGAGAGCGAGGTGGCATTTTTACATTCACACCATAGTCTCTCCTGCCCCCAGGGTCTTGGGATTGGGGCTCACAGTAGAAAGCACATTTTGGTCAGCCCAGGGGGCCAGGGGGTGAGGGAAAGGCTCTGTCTGGGAGGGCAGAACAACAGGGGAGAGTAAGGGTAGGGAGTAGAGGGACATCGAGTACCAAGCTACTGGGACTTTGCAGGATGCTGGCATCCTGTGTCAGCCACTCCATGGCTGCCCTAGGCCCAAGAGTCCACAGGTGGGGGAGCTACAGGGTTTGCACATAGGTCTCACTCCCGAGAGGTGGCTGGATTCCCTCTTCATTTTATCCCTGCCACCAGGGCTTGTACGTGTGGGTGGGAATCGATCTAGATTGACTTCAGCCAGTTCAGATGGAAAGGCTCTGGGCAAGAGGCAGAGAACTGCCCAACTTGCAAGAGGAAGCCAAGGAGACCCATGGGAGGAAGCAATGGGGACTAGGGTTTTAGGGAAAGAGAAGACCTTGGAGGAGGCAAGGGCACAGACAGGTACCCAGAAACCAACCTGGTAACCAAGGCTCTGCAGACACTGGCCCATGTGGCATTGACCTTGTGGTGGAAGAGGGAGGGAGGGATGGAGGGAAGGAAGGACAACCAGAGAAGACTGAAAACTCTCTAATATCCCAGGACGCCCTTCTCACCACCAGGTCTGTCATCCAACCACTGATGGCCATTCTCTCACCTACCCACAGGCAAAGAATTAAGACATAATAGTGATTTTTCCCAAATTAGGGCCTGGATGGGTAGGAAACCAGGGGGTGGGACTGGGGAACAGAACATTTCTTTAACCACAGTACTACTCCAGAAGGAACTGGTGAGCCGTCCCTTCCTTCCCCTTCTCCACGCCTCCAATGGCAGGTGAGAGAAGAGGAACAGAACCCTCTGAGGGCAGGACCAACCCCTCCCCCAACCCTCGGTGTTTAATAAATAGAGGTGGTAGGAGAAGGGGGGGCGGGGCGGGGACAAGTGGGGAACTGGGAGGTGGGGGTTATAGTTCATCATTCTTCAAAGTTCGCTTCTGTCCTGTTGGCTGCTCCTTCTGTTCGGATTCTGGTGAGAGTAGGGGGAGAGCAACGGAACGACAGCTGATGAGATGGAGGTAACTGGGCCAGTTCTGGGCAAATGTTTCCCCCCAGACCCTACCAGGCTTCCCGGCATATCCCCTGCTCCGCTCTCACCTGCTCCGGGACCACCTAACTCCAGAGGTTCAGAGTCTGCTGATTCAGATCCTGCTTTCGGGAAGAAATGGGTTAGTGTCTGCAGAGGGAGGAAGGGGCTAACTGAGGGGTTGGCAAACTGTTTCTGTAAAGAGCCGGACAGTAAATATTTCAAGATGTGTGAGCCACACTCAGTCTCTGTGCATATCTGGTTTTGGAAATAACCTTCTAAAAATGTCAAGACCATTCACAGCTCAAGGGCTGCCCAGGAAGTGGCTGTGCCTGCCAGTCTGCCGACCCCTAGGCTAAGCGATGTTCACATTCCCAGTTTCCCCAACTCACGAGTCTCTTTCTCAGGTTCTGAAACAGGCTTTGCATCTTCAGTCTGGCCTGGAGGGAAACCAGTACGAAAATGTAGTCCCTGGAGGGAAAGGAAGGCTTCTTCCTGCCCAGTAGCACCTGGAACCAGGCACCCTGCCCTCACCTGGTGGAGGAATGACCTTCTCCCCCTGGTCACTGGCACTGGCATTGAGAGGAGGCTCTGCCCGGGTTCCATTCTTGTCCTTGGGCCGGGGCCGGGGCTTAGCAAACTTGGCCTTATTGAGCAGATACTGCACCTCACGGTCCAGGGCCATCATCTTGGCCTCAATGTCTTTTGAGAGCAACACGGGCTTCTCTGTGGCGGGAAGCTTGGCCTGCTCAGCCACGGTTGCATTCTTCCAGGCCTGTGGGAGAGGCCGGGACATGCTCAGAGGCGGCCACGGAGACAGCAGACGTCTGTACCACGTGATGAAACACACCCCCAACCAACCTCAGGCTCTTCCCTCAAACTCCCAATCACTCTGCTACTCAAGGCCATCGGCCCCACAGGGGTAAGCCGACTCCTCAGAATGGTCCTGGAGTCTCTCCACGAGGGACTCCCAGAATACACGTTTCTGGCTGGCACCCCATTACTTTGGACTAACTACAGCTGAACCTCTTGATTATTCTGTTCTTGTTTACTTCTGAGCTGTGGTTCAAAGAAAAGTCCCCACACACCCAAAACATTTTTGCTTCACATGACAAATCATTCTTACCTCCCCAAACTCCAAAGCCCACTTTCTGCAT